GTGGCATGGCTCTGGAAATAATGACGCCAACGCCGCAGCGGGGACACGATTCAGAACGAACGGAAGCGCGGAGATGAGGCCAGCGCTGCAGCGGGAGCACGATTCGGAACGAGCGGAAGCGCGGAAATGAGGCCAGCGCTGCAGTGGGAGCACGATTCGGAACGAGCGGAAGCCCGAAAATGCTGCGAACGCTTCAGCGGGAGCAACATAATGAACACCAGCCAAACGAAAACCCAACTCATGGAAATCCTGTGCAAAAAAGAACAATACGCGGAGGGAGACGGATATCTTCCGGACGTCATCAGGAGAGAAAGGAGAGTAGTATGTATATTGTGTAATTGTCAAGCTAGATGCGCTGGAACATCCTATCCCGTCCGTAGACGTTGCTTCCCTCTATCCGCGGACGCGTATCATAGCCGACTTGGCACAAAACAAAAAACCACATCGTGTTATGCGCAGTAGAAAAACAAGGGAACGTGTGGAAACTGTGTGTCCTGGGGAACCTCTGTGGCCTGTGGGGCCTGTGAGACCTGCGACATCTGTGGGACCTGTGGAACCTGTGGGACCTGTGGGACTTGTGGGAATCGTGGGGCCTCTGGGACCTGCTTGACCTGTGGGGCCCGTGGCACCAGCGGGACCTGCGGGACTTGGGGGACCTGGCGGACCTCTGTGGGACCTTTGGGACCTGCAAGGCATGCGAGATCTGGGGCACCTATGGGACCGGTGGAACCTATCAGGCCCGTGGTACCCGTGGGACGACATGCGACACGTGTGGGTCCTGTGGGAAGTGGGGGCCCTGTGGAGCCTGCGAGACCTGCGAGACCTGTGGGAGCTGCGAGACCTGTGGGATCCAGAACAGTGGCCCACGCTGGAGCGGGATCGCCATTCTGAGCAACGGTGCCACAGCGCCGATCCGAAAAATGAGGCCCACGCTGCAGCGATAGCAGATCAAACACTTAGTTAGCGCAAGTCGTTGGTAAAACAAGACGCGGAGAGGGGGCGACGACTCTAAGGACACATTCGGGGGAGAGGGAGTAGCTTTCATGTTCTCATACGCGCCTCTCCAGGGGAGTAGACCTGAAATGCAATTGAGTTTGAAGCCGCGCTTCTTGCTTGACCGTTTCGCTTGCGACACCCTCATATACATACATATATATATAGATATGTATACATGCGTGTATACATGTATATATAAAGAAACGCACATGTGACGCAGATCGCGACGGCAGTCAAAACACAGCTGTTTTCCCCTCACTCATGCTACCGAAATTATCCCAGTGCGACCCTACCTAGGAGTCGGAGCCCCTAGGAAAGCAGCATTAGTAGTAACAGTAAAGCTAAGCTAAAGCTAGGCTACAGCTAAGCTGCAGCTAAGCTAAAGCTAAGCTAAAGCTAAGCTAAAGCTAAGCTAAAGCTAAGCTAAATATAAGCTACAGCTAACCTAAGCTGAGCTACAGCTGAGCTACAGCTAAGCTAAAGCTAAGCTAAAGCTAAGCTAACGCTAAAGCTAAAACTAAGCTGAAACTAAAGCTAAGCTAAAGCTAAGCTAACGCTAAACTAACGCTAAGCTGAAGCTAAGCTAAAGCTAAGCCAACGCTACACTAAAGCTAAGCTAAAGCTAGCTAAAGCTAAGCTAAAGCTAAGCTGAAGCTAAAGCTAAAGCTAAGCTAAAGCTAAGCTAAAGCTAAGCTAAAGCTCAGCTAAAGCTACAGACAAAGCTAAAGCCAAAGCTAAGCTAAAGCTCAGCTAAAGCTACAGACAAAGCTAAAGCCAAAGCTAAGCTAAAGCTAAGCTAAAGCTGAGCTACAGCTGAGCTGCAGCTAAGCTAAAGCTAAGCTAAAGCTAAAGCTAAAGCTAAAACTAAGCTGCAGCTACGCTAAAGCTAAGCTAAAGCTAAAGCTAAGCTAAAGCTAAGCTAACGCTAAGCTAAAGCTAAGCTATAGCTAAGCTAAAGCTCAGCTAAAGCTAAGCTACAGCTAAGCTCAAGCTCAGCTAAAGCTAAGCTAAAGCTAGCTAAAGCTAGCTAAAGCTAAGCTAAAGCTAAGCTAAAGCTAAGCTAAAGCTAAGCTGAAGCTAAGCTAAAGCTAAGCTGAAGCTAAGCTAAAGTTGAGCTAAAGCTAAGCTAAAGCTAAGCTAAAGCTAAGCTAAAGCTAAAGCTAAAGCTAAAGCTAAAGCTCCCAGGGGACTGGGGGAACCGCGGGGCGGGGACTGGGGGAACCGCCCGGGGCGCTGTGCACTGCCCGGCCCCTTTAAGCTAAGAGAGTAAGAACCCTTCTAGGCAGAGCCTAGGTAGGGAACAAACCCTTGTCTTAAAAACATGCGCACAGAACTGTTACACCACACACACAACACACAGTACATACAATAATGCACACGACCTAGATCACTCAGAGCGCACAGAGAACACACACACACACACACACGCAGACGCCCACGAACGCGCACACACACACACATTTTAAGGTCAGCGCCGCAGGGGGTCATCGAGCGCGAGCAGCAGACGGAAGAGCGAATTGCGATCGAGCATTGTCGAATGCACAGCGTACGACGCGTCGCACAGTACAATATGCAAGCGATGGGTGTGTGTTAACGGAATTGTAAATCCAAACGAAACATGCAGCGGCCAGAAAACGATGAGAACTCTCAACGCAAAACGACTTGATATGCGACAACATAAGGCGAATTGGCGGCCACTGAAACACCAGAGGGGTGTTAGACAGTGGAGCGCAAGAAGTATTGCTAATGCTGCTACACAAGCAGATTGGTGGTGTGGCCGACCCAGCACGGTCCTGCGAGGCAGATTGGTAAAGTGTGGACCTAGAGTCCAGCAGCGCTAAGCGACCGCGATGATGGGTGCAGTGGGGCCAACGACCCGCGGCAGCACAGGCCACTGCGTACCCTAGAGGGAACCCGCATCACTGGAGGCGCGCTATGCTTCAAGCACCGGAAATGACATGCATGAGAGGCAATGCTAGCACGCATAACCTGCCCGCAGAACCATAACAACAATCACGCCCCAAAACCGGACTGTAAGGACGGACATCCGTGAACAAGGTCTACCCACCGTGCAACTAACTGTAAGTGCAAACGAGCGCAGCGACGCGCACACACACAAACACACAAACACACACATACACACATCACACAACACAGCCAATACAACCAACAGAGGCACAACGCACACACACAGCACACCCTACACACATAACAGGAACAATACAGATGGCACACACACACACCCACAGCACACACACACAGCACACACACAGCACACACACACAACACACAACACAAATTGTGGAAGGGAGAGGGTGGGGGGGAGGGAGAGGAGGGTAGAGGGAAGGGACAGGGTGGGAAGCGGAGAAGAGGGAGGGGGGCAAACGGGGCACACACCATGCGGAAGCGGCGGTGTGTGCGATGCAGGCCTGGCCGAGCGTCATGAAGTGGGGCATCACCTCCCCGCCTCCGCTCCATGCCATTTGCTACGACCAATCGGGAGACCAAACACTCCTCTCTCACAAAAACTCCGCGGGACTCACCTTGGAGAAATCCTGGAAACCTCGGCCTCAACTTCCAATCCTCCCTCCGCTGTTCCCCGCGGCCCTCTCGTTGTCCCTTTCAACCCTAGATCGACAAGGGCTGGGAGATAAACCTGGCCCCACCCCTCTCTTCCAAAGTCTCCAGCGGGGTATGCCATTGGGCATTTGGCCAGGGACGCTTGGCCGCGAGTCCCGAATTTCCGATCGGGGTTTATAGAAGCATGCCCCGATTTCAATTACGCTGGAGTCGGGCGCAAGGTGCATAACACGCACAGACAAGAAAGACTATGCACTCGATTCGACAGATTCATGAGACCACCAATCTCTGGCCCTACAAACGAATTGACACCACATCCTATATCCGACAGTGCTTTCCCTGACCACCAACACCAGCACCATCATGATCAACATCTGCACACGAATTCTCACCGTCCTTGGCTCCATTACTTACGAAACCAATTCCAACAACTGTCTCCATCGCCCCCCCTGCATCTCACCTCAACCTCCTCCACGTTCTCATATCCGTCTCATTATCAGCCTCCTCGCCTTCAGCTTCGTCTCCCCCTCCTCCTTAGCCTTCCATCTCCTTACTGATATTGCTGATCCTGCTGCCCTTGCCGATGGTGATCGCCGTCGTACTCCCCGCACTTTTGCTTCCAGTGGTATCCCGTCGAGCAAGGAGTCACAATCTTGTGCAGGACGAAGAGGACAGAAGAATAGTACACTCCCCGTCTTCGGGAACGCGCGGGCGCGATCGAGACCCTCCTTGTCCTCGCCCTCGGCCCTCTTCCCTTCAAACGAGGTGTCCACCATGTGGCTGCGCAGCGTCGACGGTGGTCGCCAGAAGTCCCACGCGGGGGCTGGCCGCAAGTGCCATGTAGCATCGCCAAAGACAGCCGCCAACCCTGCTGCAAGTTCCACGAGGTCTGCCGATGGCGGTGCCAATGGTGCTGCCTGTGCCTCCTCCCTCCGCGCAACTAGGGCCAACAGTATTCATTTTCACCAGCGGATGGCGATGGTTGCTCCATCAATCTCGACAACTCCGCCGCGACAGGGCGCCTGGGACAGGAGCCGCCGCGGAAGGCGGAGGCGAGGCCCTCGCCGCGAGGGTCCAACAGCGGCCGAAGCGAGAGATCTTCGACGCCGTGACTGCGTTCGAGACGGGGGCCCAGAACTTTCGATCCCCCACCCGGCGGCGCGCCAACAGACGACGGGACAGGGGCCCTCCAAGGAGGCCAGACGGCCTCTCTGGAGGGGCTCGGCGGCCCCTACGAGCGTGCTCCTGAGAGGCTGGGCGGGGCGCATCCCCTCCTCCTCATCCTCCTCCTCCTCCTCCTCCTCCCTCCTGCCGCTTCCTGCCCCCTCCTCCCCCCTCCTCCTCCTCGTCCTCCTCGTCCTCCACCTCCTCCCCCTCCTCCTCCTCCTCCCCCTCCTCCTCCTCCTCCTCCTCCTCCTCCTCCTCCTCCTCCTCCTCCTCCTCAGGACCGCCGCCGGCTGCCGCCCCGGGGGCTCCGCGGCGCGAGCGCCCCAGGCTGGGCGGGGCCTCCGAGGAGCCGCCCCCGCCGTGCCCCCCGAAGGGCCGCGCGGCTCGCGCCGGCCTCCCGCGGCGCGCGCCGCCCTCCCGGGCGGCCCGGGCCTCGGCTGCCCGCCGCCGAGGCGGCGACTGTGTGTCGGGCCATCGCGGGGACGGGCTTCTGCTCCCCGTCGCTCGGGCGTCCATTCCCTGTGCTTCTGTTCGGCTTCGTGCGTGGTCTTTTGCTGCTGCAGGAGGATCCAGGATGCTCCTGGAGGATGGTCCCCGCCGAGGAAGAGTGCACACGTCCGAGCGATACCAAGTCTCCCCCCCCCCCAGGGAGGCCGAGACGGGCGGGAGAGGGGGCGGGCGGGGCGCGCTGATTGAGCAGGGACCGACCGTCCCGGCATTCCTATCGGCCTACCCCGGCATGTTCTTAGAACCCCAAAATGTTTTAAAAACAAAAACAGTGCCCTTCGAACATAAGCCCGATGTGATAACACAATACCGTCCCAGCCAGAAAGGTTCTAAGAACATCTCGCCGAAGCCACAAGAGGTTCTTGGAACATTATCTGATACAGTCGGCTTTGATTGGACAGGACGCGCGAGAGGACACGAGACCCTTCCGAGGGCCACATCGCCACAGGAATGTAGGAGGCATGGGCCGCGAGACACAGGACACAAGGGTACCCTTGATTTGGCAGGGTCGACCTACTACTCTGGGCCGACTGTAGGCGAGCCAAGACACTGCGCCACTGCTTGAAGGCTGACTGCGCTCCTGCACCGACCGCTGGCCAGGCCCCCTGCTGGGCCCAGGGGGGCCTGCAAGTGCGCCCTCCCGGCCTGGCCAGGCATGCAGCACACCCAGGAAGAGCCGACGCTGGGCCCGGGATCGGCCCAGCCAGACCTCCTCCCCCTCCCCCTCCTCCTCCTCCATCTCCTCCTCCTCCTCCTCCTCCTCCTCCCCCTCCTCTCCTCCTCCCATCCTCCTCCTCCTCCCCTCCTCCTCCTCCTCCTCCTCCTCCCCCTCCTCCTCCTCCCCTCCTCCTCCTCCTCCTCCTCCTCCTCCTCCTCCTCCTCCTCCCCCTCCTCCTCCTCTTCCTCCCCCTCCTCCTCCTCCTCCTCCTCTTCCTCCTCCTTCTCCTCCTCCTCCTCCTCCTGTTCCCCTGTTCATGTCCTCGGGCTGCGCGTCTGGCATCTCGGGCCCCTCACCCCCCCGCTTTGACCGCCTCCGCGCGCAGGCGAGGAGCTCCCAACGCGCCGAGGAGGCACAGCGCAGCCGCCGCGGGAAGGGCACGGAGGCGGAAGCCCCAGAGCCCCGTGGTCACAGGGCCCTGGGGCTGCGCACAGGGTGGAGCCATGCCAGCACCAATGGCACCGCCCGCCGTGGGGAGTCCATCAGCGCGCCACTGCCAAAGGAGCGCCCCGCCGCCGGACAGAACGCAGGAGCAGCGCGCCGGCGGGCTCCCAACGGCGGGCGCACCGTCGATGCTCGCTTGCCCCCCCCCCCCTGGGCACAGGCAGCCCCCAGAGGCAGTCCAGGTCAGCCTGGTGGCGGTCTCGGCTGCCCCGCGCGCCGCCTCCCGCGCCCCCCCCCCGCCCCCGGGGCGTTCCGTGGCCAGGGGCAGGGCTGGTGCGGAGACCGCCACCGGCTGCCCTGGGTGCCCTGCGCCCAGCTGCGCCGAATTAAACCAAAGCCTTGCCACCCTGCGGTCAGGAGCTTATGTTTCGCGTGTCGCGGCGGCGGTCACGGCGACACGCCATGTTCTGCGAACTGATGGCGCATCGCCCAGCTTTGTGGGGCAGGAGGCAAGGAACAGCTCAAAACGTTGATGCCTAGGGGCGGTGACGTGGTTAAGGTGTCGCGCCGAGGCGCCGTGGGCCAGAATCGGCGACGCGACATGCTGAACCAAATATCCTGACCGCGTAATTATGGCTGAACCCTCGAGCCAGACCGTTCCGTGAGAGCCCAGGGGGCCCGAAGTAACCAAAACTCTGGTCGTGTTTCTGTTGCTCGCGCTCTCAGATCTGAGACAGCGCAAGAAAGGAGACAAGCGGGTCCCCTTACCCCCTCGAGACCACTTCCGGCTGGCAGAAGGGGAAGTCGTAGTATCTGTAGGTCTCCGTCGGGTTCTGGAATGCCCACGCCTCATTTCTGGGGCGGCGGAGGAACGATGAACGAGGAACGAGGAAGGGAAGAGGAGGAGGAGGAGGAGGAGGAGAAATGAGGAATGAGGAGGGGCGAGGCGGGAGGAGGGAGGAAAAGGAAGAACATGGAGAGAGGAGAAGACCGCCTCCTCTTCCCCCGTTTCTGGGCCTTCGGGTGGCCTCTCGCTCTCGGAGTCAGAATTCCAAGGCGCTCCGGGAAAGGTTTGGCATCGATTTTGAGGGAGAGGGACGGGGATGGCGGAGGGGGAGCAGCAAAAGGAATGGGTAGGAGTTGTGACTCGGGCCCGCCCCATCAGCTGCACCTCCCCGAGAACTCTCTGGGGGGCGCCCCTGCTGTCTCGAGCGGCCTGCTCGGACCTTTGCGACGGCCGAGAAGGCGAGCAGATCGAACAAGCTTTATCTGGACTGCATGCGCACGCCGCCCCCTCCTCCTGCTGTCTAGGTGTGCACTGGACGCAGACTTGGCCCCTGAGCCTGACCGTGCACTTGTCCCGAGCGTGCGCTGTGCTCGGAAGCCCCAAAGCCACACAGCACTTCGGCGGGGCAACCCGATGGGATCGCTTCGCCCAAGGGCCTGGAACTCCTGCTGTCACGAGACCGCCACGTCGAGGCACGACGGGTGAGAAGAGGGGGCGACCCTTCACAGCCATGTCATGGCTTACGTAAGCTGCGCAGGCCAGATTTCTCACGGTGCCTTCCCGTGAGAGGAAGAAGAAACCAGCGACACGACGATGCTGCCCTGCCTGCCCACGATCCCCGAACGCGACTCCCCATACATTTCGGCACCTCCACTCGCCGCGAGCTCGCTGCCTTGTTCATGCTCACGACCACCTCCTGCGGATGAGGCGTGACAGCAGTACAGTGGACAGATACATATGATAAAACAAACGGCTGCAAGAACAAATCTGCGGGCATACCACTCTTCGGCCTTGAGTCTCGTAAGCTGCCCCTGGGGTATTCTGAACCATCGGGAGAAAAGAAATTCTCATGGGGCACCTGCGCTGGCAGGCCAATGTCTTGCTCTATGTGCTGGCAGTACACATCAGTTCCTGCACGTAATCTTGCGTGCCCCGTGCGAGCGTGTGCGCGGGCGCCGTTCATGCCCTTCCTTCTTCGTCGTCCTCCTCCTGCCCTCCCTTCCTTTGTCACGGCCACGACTGACACCCTCAACGTGCCCCCCTCCCCTCCTCATTCTGCAAGGTGTTCCCCTCCATCCAGCCTCGAGGATCGAAGGCAAAGACATTGTGAATGCTATCTGGACTTTGGCCTCCCAAGACTCCTGGGTGTCAGTATCTGGCGCGGTACCAGCATTCCGGACCTCGTCCTTCTCCTCCACGCTTCTCCTCGTTATCATCCTCTTTTCTTCCTCTTCCTCCTCATCCTCCAACATTCTCCTCCTCTGCCCTCACTTCTTTTCTCTGATCCCTCCCTCCTCCCTGCCACCTCCCCCATCTCCCCCTCCTTCTCCTTATTGGAATGTCTCTTTCTCCTCCTCCTCCTCCTCCTCCTCCCCCTCCTTGTGTTGCTTCCACTCCTCATCACCATACCTTATTATTCATTATTAATCCTCCTCTTCTCCTCCCTCATCCTGATCACACGCGTTTTGTTTTGATACCTCCTGCTGCTATGCCTTGTCATCAACTACATGTGGCCAGATGTACGCAAATATCGCAAAGGCAAGCCACATCACATTCATCCAACCTTCGAGTATACTCCTCAACCCTCGTCGTACGCAAGAACACTCGGAATCTGCACCAACGCCCGAATATGCAAACAACAAGACGAGAATCAGCAGCGCCATCGCCGGAAACGTCCTGCAATTCTTCATACGCGCCCTTGTCGGAGGCACACGGGGGGAACACATGATGGTTAACGGAATTGCGCACATGCGGGAACATATAGCGGAATGGGTGGAAAAGAAATGCCACTATGCGCTGGCACCGTCGATCGAAAGACAAGCTGCACATACGGGTACGTAGGCACACAAACAGCATGATGGGCACGGGCTATGCAAGTTACCACGAGGAGATCAGCGGGTGATACACTCGCAGACTTGGTCCGAAACCGTTGACCTATGAGAACCAATATCCCTTCGCTATGACGCTGACGTGCTCGTTGCCAGGCGCTTTCTCGTTTTGCAGTGCGGTGCTGTGGCCACGCTGCGGTTCGACTTCTCTCGTCCTCTTGGTGCTTCTCCAGCTCCTATCCAAGACACAATCGTGCTCGACTTTCGTGCAAAACAAATCGGTAAGTGTCTACCCCTCAACCAAACAAACGTCCGTGGTAGGTCGTTTCTTCCAAGCTGACATCCACTGGGCGTTGCTCTCGACACCTGTCAGAACTGTCCGACTGAGCATAGCATTCAGCACAATTCCCCAACCAGGTCTTACCTAAGACGTCCTGGGCTCCCCGGTGAGACACAGTCCCACCCTCGCGGTTTGTGGGGCCTCGCGCATCGGTTCCTGGCCCCCTGTGGTTCTTGGGCCATCCGTTGCTTTGCTTTGCGTTGTTACACATTCTGGTGAGAAGCCATGCTACGCGACGATGCGTTGTGCTTCGCTATGCTGTAGCATAATCCTGCTACACGGCGGACCTACATTACACAACATAACATGCGATGTGGGAGTAAGTTCTGATGTGCAAATTATTTCTCCATGGTATCCAAAGCAACGCGCTGCTCGATGCGGCACTGGTACCAAGTGCAGCTACGCCATGTACTTCGAATATTGTCACCAAATGCCATGATATGAGGTTAGGTGCGATGCGCTGTCGTCATCGTCGCCGTCGCCACCGCCGTCGTCATGGTGGCCGTCGCCATCGCCGCTTTTGTAGCCGCCGCCGCGTCGCCATTGCCGTCGTCACCGCCACCGCCGTCGCCGTCGCCGCCGCCATCTGGAGGTCAAAAGGTACGGATACTGCAATTCCACGGACCTCTCCCGTGGTGCATTCGCATTCTCACATGGTGCTGGGGGAAGGGTAGCGGCATCGGTATATGTTCCTCCTCTGGATCGCCGCCGTCGCTGTCACAGCCGTACTCGTCGTCGCCGTCGCCCTCGCCGTCGACGCCGCCGTCTGCGCGAGGGGGGCCTCCGCAGGCGCCACCAGCAGCGCCGCAGCGGCGGCAGCGAGGAGGCCGCGCCGCGCAAACGGCGCACGCCGGCGGGCGGGGGCGGGCCCGCCGCCGCCCCCTGGCGGCCGTGGCGGGGAATCACGACGATCTTGACGACGACGACGACGACGACGACGACGACGACGACGACGACGACGACGGACGACCTCTCCGAGGACTTCGACGTCGTCGCAATCCGCTCCCGCCGCCCACTGTAGCGGAGGGCGGCGGCGGGTTGCAGCGGCAATCGACGGCGACAACGCGGAGTCGGAATCCAATCCATTCGGCCAGGCCAAGATGCACAACGACTCCGTGCAAACATCCAGTCTTATCGGGCTGGCCGAAATCGGTATCGAATCGGATCGATCGGGTCGAAATGGGCCCTGAGGGGAGGGAGCGGTGGCGTCGGCGGCAGACTGCGGCGGTGGCGACCGACTGCGACGGCGGCGGCGACCGACGGAGGCGGTGGCTGACGACGGCGGCAGGCGGCGACAGGCGGCGCCCGACGCCGACGGTGGCGGCGACGACGACGACAGCGGTGGACGGCAGCCAACGCCGACGGTTGCGGCGACGGCGGCGGCGGCGGCGGTGGCGGCAGACGACGACGACGACGACAATGACGACGACGGCCACGACACCGACGCCAACGACGACAACGACGACGACGACGTCAACGGACGGCGAGGAGTTGACCGAGAAGGAACACGACGGCAACGATGGTGACATTCACGGAAGGCGGCACCGACGGTGTCATCAATTATCGACACCATGTGGGCCTCCTGGGGCGCTATGGTTGCCGCGGCTGGATCCACGTCTACATACTGGTCAGAACTCACCTCAGTGCAGGTGCAGGGATCGATTTTGACGTCGACCCCCTCTCCTCCTCCTGTTCCTGCTCCTGCTCCTGCTCCTGCTCCTGCTCCCGCTCCCGCTCCCGCTCCCGCTCCTGCTCCTGCTCCTCCTCCTCCTCCTCCTCCTCCTCCTCCTCCTCGTCCTCCTCTTCCTCGTCCTCCTCTTCGTACGCCAAATTCACGCCGTGATGATGTCACGCGTGGTTCGCTCAACCTTGAAGGACCGCGAGTTTCGGATCGCGCAGAGAGTTCTGGGCCGGAAGCCGCTTCCAGGCCACCGGCGGCGCTCGATCTTGAACTGAGGGGGGGCATTCGGTGGGGGCTTTTCTCGTAGGCAGGAGGAGGAGGAGGAGGAGGAGGAGGAGGAGAAGGAGGAGGAGGAGGTCCTGGCTCGCCCAGGGGGGGTCCAGGACGCACGAGCTCGCCCAGGGGGGCGTCGTTCGAGCGGTCGAGTCGCCCAGAGGGGGGTCGCGGCTGCTCAGCTGTCCCCTTACGCGCCGCCCGTGGGGGTCTCCTGCAGGAGCTGCCGGGCTCAGAGGGGGCAGACATCGAGCTGAAACCAACGACATCCCTCGCCGACGGAGCGGCGACAGGCCCCCGACGGCACATCCGCGCGCTCCGGGGCTGGGCGTGGGCCCGCGGGCCCCCTCTCGACGACCACTGGGCGATTGGGGGTCGGCGCGTCCCCCGCTCTCCGCCAATCCCCTCGAACATTGTCCCTCGCAGGCCGCTGGCAGCGTTCGACCTTGAACTCCCGTGCCGTGTCCGCCGCCACGTCAGCACGACGCAGACCTGCTGCACACGCATTCGGTCTTCTCCTCTCTCCTCCTGAGAGCCTCAGGCCGGAGCCACCCTGCCCGGCCTCCAGGGAATAGCTCCCCTCGTCGTCATTCCCTTCACCCCCTGCCCCCCTTCCCCCTCCTGCCCCAAACAAATGCTTGCACTCAAGGGCTCTCGCTTGATTTCTGAGGAGCTGGGCATGGTTGTCGGTCTGGCCGGCTTGTGGCCACCCGTTGCATCCCATCGCCCCTGTTTTGATTACGATTCTGATTGTGCGAGGCTCGCACTTTGCATTGCTTTCCATTGCATCACATTGTTTTGTATTCGGAGCGCATTGTGCGGCATTGTTTAGCATTGCCTAGCATAACTTAGCATTTCTGTGCGTTGCCTCGCATTTGTTTGCACAACACGAACTGCACCACGTGGACTGAACCACCTCGATTGCGGCACGATCATCGCACTGTGACGGGCTCTGCGCTTCGCCTCAGACTCCTTTACCATTTCTTGATGGTGGAGTCTGAACAGTGTAACGATTTCGTGTCGAGCGGGTCCTTCTTCTAAATGTGGCTCTCGCCTTCGCGCCGCGCAATTTCTACAACAACGTGTGCGACGGTGTCGTGGACGGAGGGCGGGTGACTTTCAACACGTTGCTCTCGTCTTGGCGCCGAACGCCTTCGCCCCAAAACTCTGCAGCCGTTTCACGGATAGAAGGCGCGTGGTTATCGAAATGCAGCTGTCGCTCGAGCGCCAGTCGCATTCGTCGTATCAGCTTGCAACGCTTTCACGGCCGGAGGGTGGGCCCCTTTTTTCCCCAACCGTCCTGTGGTGTTGGGTCTTCGTTTTGGAACAGCGCCCCGCGTCTCCTCCTCTCCTCCTCTCCTCCTCCTCCTCCTCCTCCTCCTCCTCCTCCTCCCTTTTCCTGTCCATGCCTCTGCTCTCCTCATGTCCACGATGTCTGCGCACCCCACGCGAGGATCGTGACCCCATCGGGAGCTCCACCGAAGGCCCCAAGTGCAGGGTCCGCATGGCGGACTCGGGTCAATTCGGCATACCCCTCACGAGGATCGTGGACCCATAGGGAGCTCCACCGAAGGCCCCAGTGGCAGGGTCCGCATGGCGGACTCGGGCCAATTCGGCGCACATCTCACGAAGAACGTGGCCCCATAGGGAGCTCCACCGAAGGCCCCAAGTACAGGGTCCGCATGGCGAGCACGGGCCAGTTCGGCACACCCCTCACGAGGATCGTGGCCCCATAGGGAGCTCCACCGAAGGCCCCAGTGGCAGGGTCCGCATGGCGGACTCGGGCCAATTCGGCACACATCTCACGAAGAACGTGGCCCCATAGGGAGCTCCACCGAAGGCCCCAAGTACAGGGTCCGCATGGCGAGCACGGGCCAGTTCGGCACACCCCTCACGAGGATCGTGGCCCCATAGGGAGCTCCACCGAAGGCCCCAGTGGCAGGGTCCGCATGGCGGACTCGGGCCAATTCGGCACACATCTCACGAAGAACGTGGCCCCATAGGGAGCTCCACCGAAGGCCCCAAGTGCAGGGTCCGCATGGCGAGCACGGGCCAGTTCGGCACACCCATACGAGGATCGTGGCCCCATAGGGAGCTCCACCGAAGGCCCCAGTGGCAGGGTCCGCATGGCGGACTCGGGCCAATTCGGCACACATCTCACGAAGAACGTGGCCCCATAGGGAGCTCCACCGAAGGCCCCAAGTGCAGGGTCCGCATGGCGGACTCGGGCCAGTTCGGCACACCCCTCACGAGGATCGTGACCCCATAGGGAGCTCCACCGAAGGCAAGGTCCACATGGCGGACTCGGGCCAATTCGGCACATACTTCACGAGGATCGTGGCCCCATAAGGAACTCCACCGGCGGCTCCAGTGGTTGTGCCCGCATGCCGCTACCCTCCTACTTCGTCGTACTTCTCGCACGTTTCGAGGCCCATAGGGAGCTCCGCTGAATGCCACAGTGGCAAGGTTCGCATGCCGCCACCCCCCTTCACTTTGGTACACCCCTCTCACGCTTCGTGGCCTCACAGGACGCCCCGCCGAAGGCCCCAGTGGTTGCGTCCGCATCTCCCGTTTCCCTGGGTGCCTATCAGTTGCATCGGGTCACATCTGCATGTCACCCGCTTCGTGTGACCTCCGCCCCCCCTGCTGGCGGCCCCAGCGGCAACGCCCGCATGGCGGCCCTGCACCATGTCGGCGCTCCGTTCACGCGATTCGTGGCGCCGTAGGGAGTTTCACCGCAGGCGGTTATCTCAACGGCGGTATTCACATCTGCATATGGTTGGGTCCTTCGCCCAGATAATTGCAATTCGTTTTTGCCCGCAGCTGTACGCACACTCGTCTTGAAGTGTTCGCAGCAGCTTCACGGATGGAGGGCGTGACGTTTTCCAAACGTGGCTCTCGCATTAGAACCCCCCGCACTCGTCTTGAAAATATGAAGCAGCTTCAGAGGCGGAGGGCGGGCCGTCTTCAACATGTGGCTGTCCCGCTAACGCCGCGCGCGTTTGTTGTTGAACTTGTGAGGCAGGTTCGAGGATTCGTGCGGTTGAATTCACAGGAACGGTGTTCTGGAGCGACTTGGGACTGCCAGGACGCAGCGGCAACGTTGGTTCGCAGTGGTGCAATCCCAGGAGCTGTGTTCCTGGCACGGCGCAGGATTGTCAGGTCGCAACAGTCACGTTTACTCGTGGCGCCGAGGTCCCAAGAACGGTGTTTGGACACGGATGAAGATTCTCAGACGTTTGTCCTCCAACGGGGCATTTCTCGCAGTGAAAAAACAGATATTCCCAGGGACCTACGAAAAAATCGAGTGGAAGGTTTATTGCGACATCGTTGATGGGTCTTGGGTTTGCACTGGTCCTCCTCCTCCTCCTCCTCCTCCCTCCTCCTCCTCCTCCTCCTCCTCCTCCTCCTCCTCCTCCGTTTCTCCCGAGCGGAAGGGCCAGGCCGCCGCGCGCGCGGGGCCACGAACCCCGCTCGGGCCCTGTCGGCAAACTTGGGGCGGCGATGCCGACGGGGAGCCACCCGACATAGACCGCCGACTCAGGTGCATGCAGGGCTCCTCAGCGGCGCGAGGAGATGGAAGGGTCGTGCGCCGCCCCAGCGACAAGGGGGGTCAGCAGCGGCTACGCGTCGTGGCAACTCGCCACCCCACGGCCAGAGCTTCGTTGTCAGCCTATTCTGGTTACGTGCGTCATTTGCTACGCGCCCACGGCGCTGGCGCCAGTGCGCCCCAGTGTGTGTGTGTGTGTGTGTGTTTTCTGCTCCGTTTCGCTCGAGGGGTGTCCACACCACGCCTCGGCCCTACCGCAGCAGGACCTTCAATCCCGCCGCCCACTGCACGCACGCGCGCAAGGCTGCTCGCATCCGTGCATCCACTATTGCAAAATGCCGCAAGCTAGCGCACGCGGCGAAGGTGCATACGATTCATGCTCCCGTGCTGGTACCGCGAGGGATACCGCAAAGAGGAGAGATGGCAGGACGCACCGACTTCGGCCTTCACTCACCTTGGGGCGCCTCCCGCAAGGACGGCACATCCCCCACCGGATCCCCTAGGTTGGCGTTCGTACACGGGTCGAGCCCGTTCAAGATCCGATCGCGTCGACGGCGCCTCTCGTTGTCCCTCCTGGTGCTGCCCAGCCTCACGCAATCACCCATGGCGCTGCGAAGCTGGTGCCTGAAGAACGCCCCGCGCACCCTGCACGCGGTGTAGTCAGCGCAGCGCGACCAAATGTGCTCCCGTGGCGCTGCAGGTGGCTGCGGCGGCCCCGCTGAGCCGGGCGGGCGCTCCCCCTCTGGCGATTCCTCCTCGCCCGGGCCCTCCTTCTGGCTGCGGAGGGCGCCCGCTCGCCTGCGGCGCTGCTGCTGGTGCTGTATCCTCGCCTTCGCCACCTCCGTGTCTGGGCTGCACTCTTCGCCCTGCAGTCGCTTCAGCCCCGCTGGGGACCTGCAGTAGGCCTTGCAGCACTCGCAGCGCCACGAGGAACCCACGCCCAGCAATGAGTGGCCCCTGGGCGGCAGCGGCCTGCGCCTCGGCTGGGCCCCGCTCCTCGGGGCCCCCGCCGTGGTCACGGCTGCGGCCGCCCGCGTGCCCGCCAGGAGGGCGCGGAAGCTGGCGACGTGCTCCAGCACGCGCTTTGCCCGCTTGCTGCGTGCTCCCGCGTGCGCCACTGCCCAGGCGGGCACGGGGCAAGCGGCAGCCTCCATCTTCGCGTGCTTGTCGGCCTCGTCGTTGCGCACGTGCTTCGTCTGCTGCTCGGCGGACATCGCCTCCCGCTGCACCCTCGAGACGTGGGCCTTGATCTTCGCGACCGCGAGGTGCTCGCCTGGCACGAGCTGCCTGTCCTCCAGCAGGTATGTACCAAAGGCTGCGCCACAGGTGGGCGGCCACTGAGCCGCCACCGCAGCAGCGAGACCGCCCAGCCAGCAAGCCATCGACCACCGCCTTGTTGTCAATGATCACCTTCGAGAGGAAACCCGCGCGCTGGAATGCCATGGTCATCGCCCAGATCTCGGGGACCAGGCTGCAAATCGCGGGGACAGGTACCGGGCCCCACAAGCCCTGCTCCATCTCGTTGCTGTTGTACACAGCGACCGCCCAGGCTCCCGCGCGCAGCCTCGGCCAGCTGGGGTTGACCACCGAGCCGCCGGTGGCGATGCTCCCGCTGAAGTGCGCGGGACCGTCGGGCTTGACCCAATGGAACTGGGCCTCGTGCGACTGCCAGTACACCTCCACCGTTGGGTCAGCCAACGGGCCGCGCGACCACAACCATGAGTTCTGTGCCACCTCGCCCTGCGCGATGATGTCACGGCTGTTCGCATCGGACCCCAAGTCGGTGAGCTTCTCGCGAATATCCTCACACTCGGGGGCGTGGCACCGCCAGTACAGGTGCATGTTGGTGCCTTCCTCGGTGCCGACCAACGGGCACATGGTGCTGCTCAGGGAAGCCGCCGAGGATGGCCACCTTCGCGGCGCTGCGGTGGTGGGCGGTCCAGCTCTGCGACAGCTTGTTGCGCATGGCCTGCCGCAGCGGTGCGACCCAAGGGCGCGGCCGCAGCGCCTCCCGAGTGGGAGCGTTGGCCCAGGCCTCCAGCTTGGCCTCCCCGATCGCCCCCTGTGTGTGTATGTCCGCCGCGCTGGCGCGCCTGCGCCCCAGCTTTTTGCTGGGAAACCATGCCCGCTCCCGCCCTGGAGAACGTGCGGCCACCAGCTGTTGGTTCCGCACTGACCGTTTTGCAACCCTGTCCCACTGGGATGGTTCCAGTCAGCGCACTGCGCCCCGCCGCCGCTGGCCCACTGGTGCAGCAGCCGCCGCGGACCCGCCGGCGGGGCCGACCGCGCCACGCGCTCCGGGCGTGGCCCGTCCCCCTGAGTGGCCTCGCTCCTCTTCCCCCTCTCTTTCGGCCCTTTCTTCTGTCCTGTCCCCTTCTCCTTGCATGGTGGCACAATTCGCTACAACGGCATCCCCGCTTGGTTAGCTCTCCGCCAGCGCAGTTACTTTGCCTAGCCGCCGACGCAAAA